CCGGTCTTTCATGTATCGTTGTTGAGAAAATCCATTGGTGACTATACTGCCAATTCTGAGCTACCGATGACACTTACTAAGGATTTCGAGGTGGTTATTGAACCCTTAGAGCTGATGGGGATTCGCCAGAAAGAAGATAGAACTAAGGAAGTGTTGATCTAGTGGAAGAACCTTCCTGACTATGAGGCCACGTGGGAACCATACGAGAGGATGAAACATCAGTAAGGTGGTTCTTTGGGAGCGAGGTAATGTTACGGAACAAACCAAACTGGCCCAAGAGGGGCCTGTCCAATTCTATAAGAGGCGGGCTAAGCCGCCTCCTTGATGTGTTTCTTCCCAGCTTGTGGGCCCCCCTTGAGGCAGCAATAGGATAGAGGGAAAGGAATTTTGAAATTATTTTATATTAGGGAAGTGGATTTAATTAATTAAAAGATTTGATATCTTTTCTATTAATTAAATAAATTAGGAAGTTTTAAGGAGGTGGATTTAATTAATTAAAAGTTTTAATATCATTTGTATTAATTAAATAATATCTTATATTAAGAAGTTTTTAAGGAGTTGGAGAGGGCAATTTAAAGGGCATGAAGGGGCTGAGGTAGGTATGCTTAGATTTGAGTTTCTCTTGGAGTCTTTTGAGGTTTGAGGGCTCTAGACCTTATTTCTAGAGATTGGGATCCTCCTCTCAAATAGAGGATCACTTGTATCTTGCTTTGTATTAGTTTTGTTTTATTTCCCTTGTTGCAATCCACTGCTTTGGGGTAGATTTGCCCAGATTTTGCTTTATTCCCGCTATTTTTCTTCCTGTTAGTGGTAGGTGTGCTTGTGAACTCAATTATTCCCTTAGGGTTCCTTGCGAACTCAAGTATTTCCTATCACTAAATAAATAGAGTAATTTCATTAAGTAGTACAAAAGTGAAATCATGAATTTTTAAATTTCTTATGGGATTTATACTCTTCTTATCACTTCATTACTTGACATGACACATGCACTTACAAAGAATAGGATTTACAACTTAGTAAATTAAACAATATTTATATGACTATTTAGTGTGTTTAAATAAGAAAATTTTTTCATCATGTTAGGCTTTTGACTTAATAATTGGTGCCTCTACAACTGATGGTCTCAATGACTTCCCTAGAGATGATATATCTAATACCTCATATCTCTCCTTAAAAATTTCATGGCCTTCACGAACAATATGAATAACATCTCTATCAACTTCCCCTATGTCATGCTCAAGTAATGAGTACTCCAATAAACTATCAATTAACAACTCATTCATAAAATCATTAACATGATCATCTACCAAGTCCACTCTATAACAATCCTCATTATGATGTTTAGGAAACTTTATAGACTATGAAAATTTAAGGTCACCTCTTGGTCCATAACCCTCAAGGCTAACTCCCCCTTCTATATATCAATCATTATTCTACCTATGGTTAGGAAAGGTCAATCCTAAGTAATTGTTGTCTCCCTATCTTCCCCTATATCTAAGATAATAAAATAAACAAAGAAGATAAACTTATCCACTTTTACAAGCGCATGCTCTATCACACCTTTGGAAGTAAATAAACAATCCACTAACTGAAGGGTAACAATGTTGGGTGGAACTTCACCTAGCTCAAGTCTCTTAAATATATAATGGGGCATTAGATTAATGTTATTTCCTAAGTCACATAGTGCCCTCCCACAAAATTTAACCCATATAGCCATAGGAATCATAAAACTACCATGGTCCTTAAGGATTCGAGAGAGTTTCTACCGAGAAGTGCACTTCATTCCCTAGCAAGGGAAAGAATCTTAAAGTCTTCTAGTTTCCTTCTCTTGATTAAGATTTATTTCATGAACTCAACATAAACAGGCATATGCTTCATCAAAGGGTTTGGAAATCAAAGAACCTCCATAACCAACATTTATGATGGACTTGAGGGATCCTACAAGTCCATTGTAGTAAGTTTGAGTAATCAGTCAATCAGGCAAAGCATGATGTGGGAACTTTCTAAGTAATTTTGTAAATCTCTCCCAAGATTCATAAATTGATTTGATGTCAATTCTAAGCTTTTCTATTTTATATGGAGGGAAGTGCTTAGCTAGGAACTTGTGAGCTAAATCATTCCATGTGATAATTTAGCCTAGGGTTACGAAGTTCAACCACTTTTTTGCCTTATCTCTTATGGAGAACATAAAAAGTTTAAGTCTAAAGGCATAATTATAGACTTTGTTATACCTAAGTGTTGCACATATCTCTAAGACACTAGTAATATATAAGTTTGAATCCTCAACAAGAGTTCCTCCAAACTATGGGTTTTGTACCTTTAATCAAGTATAGGATTAAGCTTAAAGTTTTTAGCTTGGATATTAGGTCAACTAAAGCACAAGAAATATGAGTTCTTTCTCCGTCCTCTCTTCTGGAGTGAGATTGGAAAGATGATTAAACTATTCACTATAAGACCTACTATACTGTTGATACTGAGAAGCACAAGCCGAACTCTTTACATGAACATTCATTGCCTATTTTCCCTTATCAACTGTAGACACCGACTAAGACTTCTTTCCTAAGACCTTCTGGGGTTTTAACTTTTTTACTTCTACCGAAGTCTGGTCTTTAAGAATAGACAATTGAGAAGCTTCCTCTTGGAGATTAGAGGCTTTAATTAGCAACATCTCAAATGTATTTATGCTAAACCTCATGTATATTTTTAAGGAGGGTCTTTATAACATGTTGCTCATGTAATTAGGGTTCACACTTCATGCTTAAGTTCCTCCAACGTAGAATATAATTTACAATATTTTTTCAGGTTTCTATTTCTCAATCTCCATATCACTAACCCTAATATATTAATGAGATCTGAAAAATATTTTAAAAAATAGATGTTCTAGTTCTACAAAGGTATGAACTAACCCATTTGATAGTTAAACATCCAAATCAAATGCCACTCCATACAAGCCGCTCATAAATTGCATGAATAAGAATGCATCGCTACCACCTATATTACAACAATTGGCTCTGAAGTGCACTAAATATTGTTTAGGATTTCCTGTGCCATCAATTTTTTTTAGTATTGGCAGCATTAACCCTTTAGGATAAAGCTCAAAGTAATATTCCTCTAGGTATGACCTACCCCTTTTAATAGACGAAGTGTCCTATAGTTGTGCTAGAGCCTATTTTACTTGCTACTTTGCCATCTATTTGATATTTATAGGTTAAAATGATTCTCTTCCAACTTGATTTTTTTATTCTTATTTTCTTTAATCACTTTTTTTATTTATTACAATGTTAAACAAACACTACTGGAAGTGATTCTATCTGAGCTTTAGTGGAAGGAGTTTCTTTACTTTATAGGACAACCATGGAGACCATTAACTCTTCCATCTTTTTATCTATTTTAGAAACTTACTCATCATTCTAGCTTATTTGATCCAATAGATGTTGGATAATGTTTGGTGAATCACCCTCATCAACTTTAGTGTCTAAAGGTTTTGTTTTACCTTTAAGAGTATATTCTCAGGTATCTACCATACAAAAATGTTAGTTGACATTTCCTCATCCTAAAATTTTATGGTTTCCATTTTAATGGTCTCTTCTTCATTTATTTTACTTATAACTTCCTTTAATTCATTCATCATTTCTTCTATTGATCTCCCTAACACGTTGTGCCTGTCGAGCGGGTTATACACTTACTAGTGAATTTATTATAGGATTAGGGTGGCTGAAATAAAAGATAAGTTGCCAGGAATTAGAGTCAATCCGGGGAGTTAATACCTATCTAAAAAAATAACTATTAAATTATTATTACAATTTATATATTTTTAAAGTTATCATGAGTATTATAATTGTACTCTTACAATATTAGAAAACAATTTTATTACAGACACAATGTTCTAAAAATCTGAATTAAAAAAAAAAATTTTTTTTGATTCCAACAAAAACTAAACTTCCTAAATTTTGACAGCAATAGTTGCTTCCAAACCAGAATATAATTTCAAAAACCAAATTCTCGCTTCGTCATGGTGGTTGGCTGCTTGAAACTCGCTTTCCCCTTTAGCTCTGCTCGACTTCTATCTACTTCTGATTTGCAGATCAGTGATCAAAGAATAAGGGATCTAATAAATCCAAAAGAATATCTAAGCTAACATACTGCAAAAATGATTTAGAAATCAATACAGGTAAATTAAATTATTCTTTAATTTAAAAAATACTAATATAAACAAAAGTATGCCAAAAGCTTACCCAGCTGGATATCCTGACTAGTGATTGGGATAAAACAGATCATTTCAATATTTACTATTTATTTCATAAGCACAAAATCCATGATAGCTCAAAAGTAGATATCTTGTGAGGACCAATATTTTTAAGTAACACGAATTCATCAGAAGGAAAAAATATTCTCGATGACCTACAATTTTGCCAATTTCTGCCACAATTTAAAAAATAAATATTTCAATTTCAGAAAAAAAAAAGGGAAAAAAGCATTAAAATTGAACAGAATCTGTCATTTTAGCCACTTTGTAGATTGATTCTGAAATAGCCTAGTCAGATGCATTTCAGATGAAACATACATCTTGATGCAGGGAGAGATAGAGAGAGACTATTGCGGACATCAGTAATGATTCTGTGAGGTGACATAGGGATTTATGTGATTTTTATAAGAACTTATCATCTTATAAATATAATTAGCATATAACCATTTTTTTAAATAATAGCCGACAGTTAGTTCTGATTAAATTGGGCTGATACACCCTAATACCTAAAATACACTCATATTTAACTATTAAAGTTAACTTTAACGGTTAATTTTGTCTTTGAAATTTCTATTAAAGTTAACTTTAACGGTTAATTTTGTCTTTGAAATCAAATTGAGACATTTTTTAATAGTTGGATAACTAAATTAGGTCATTATAAGTGTGAGACTAAATTGGACTTTTACTAATAGGTGGGTGACTATTTTAAGTTATATATATATATATATATACACCACACACAAACACACATGGCTCACTCTAACAAAATACTAATATAACAGCTCTAACATTAATCCTATTGACCATAACATGATCAACTCTTACATGAAGTACTAACTCAAATAATTCCTTACAATTACAAATTAACTATTACTCCCTATGACCTATGACCTATTATCCATTCTCACTCTTTTTCCTCATAAAATGATACGTTATTGAAGGATTAGCCCATCAACCTATGCAACTATATAAATAGCCTGCATAAAAACTTTAAGTTGCAAGTTCAAATCATTACATTAGCACAGTAAGGCATTGACCAGAACTTTATGAACAGCAATAGCGATCATTCCTACAGATAGTAAGCTTGCGATATCCACATACAGAAAATCATCCGATCACTAAACAACTTTTGCTTGTTTCTTCTTTGAATTGTTTATAGGACGAACCTTCACAAAGGCTTTTTCTAAATCCTGCAGAGGGGAATAAAAAATGTCGTGAGACCTAGAGGGTTGAAAATTCAATTTTACATAGAAATCTTAGCAGTTGTAAGCTTACAATGCACCATGCAGTTCGGAATAGTGGCTATTCTTATCGCATAACTTTGATAAGAACGAAAATATCTTCACAAAACTTCATTAAAAAAATGCTACTTCTAATTAATTAGATGAAAGGTCCCGCTTGCGTTATCAGGAGTACCCAGATTTCAACTTTTGAATTTAATTGCTCTCCATTTTCTAAGACTATAAGGTTGAGCAACTAACCCTAAACCCTAACATTAAACTTCTAGAGCCAATAAATACATCGGCAGATCTTGCAAATGGAGCATGCTTCCCTTAATGAATTCCCAGAAAGTAGAGCCGAGTCAAGAAGAACAGAAATAAGCATGTAATTGCTACCTATCTCCTCGATGTTTTTTTATTTAAAAAAAATTTCCAAATAAAAATGACATGATAAAAGCATTTAAATTTAATCATTTTTTTATTGATTTACAAAAAGGCTAGATACTGAATTAGCAAAAAAGTCCAAAATCTTTTCATTCATCATCATCAACAGCAGCACCATCCCAAAATATCAAGGACCAACTTTATTTATCATTCTTTACCACTAGCTCTTTTCGGGTAGATCTTAAAAAAAAAAAAAAAAAACTTTATAAGTCAAAAATTAAAGTTATTGAAGATTATAATAACAAACTGGCTTAAGAAAATATAATTATGTTTGGATCAAAGAATCAATTAGTTTTATGGCAGCTAGATCTATAAAGGAAGTTTTGTACTAAGGTAATTAATGAAGAATAAAAAGCAAATAAAATGACCTTCTTATGGGTGTTATTAATCTTCCGAAATTGAATAGAAAATAAAGATTCCCTCTGGTAAATGAAAATTCGTAAGACCAACTAAAAATAAGTGGCGTAAGGCCAATGAATGTGATTGTGATAATAAAAATCCTATATAATATGGGTTATGTTACACTCGCCAAATAAATCCACACTTAAAAAAGGTTTTTCTTATTTCTTATGCCCAAATTTTATATGAGCCAATAAAAAAGAGTGAATTTTAGATCCACATCCATTTTAGATGCAACAATCAATAAAATATTATTTTAATTGTGGATTTATGTAGGGACTAAAGCATTACTCATATAATAAACAAGGATATTAAGCATATCCTATGCATAAAATGGACTTCAATAATTATATGTTATCATTATTGCTCGTAAATATGTTAAAATTGTATATAATGCGATGTATTCAAAATTTAATAGCAATGAAATGAAACGCTCCTAAAGGAAGCTTTTGAAAACATGGCACAAATAGGTAAATTAAGGAATGGAAGTTTCAGTAATTAAGATGTGCTCTAAATAATTACAAGTTTTGCAGAATTATAAATTAGCCTGAAAGTAATTGCCACTAATTGTCATATGTTATGCGGATGTATTTTCCAATAGACAATCAAGTACAATAAATGTGAACAGTATTAGCTTTCCATAGAAACAAAAAGGCAACTTAAATAAGAGGAAAGGTGTTCAGCTTCATTAGTTTCCACAGTCCAACTATCCGGGGACAGATTTAAAATTTCTCATTTTCCACCAATTCCACTTGTATGCATGCATGATATATTAAATCTGTTGTGTGGATCTTTTTGCACAACTTTTATCCATGTTACTTTAATCAACCTTTTCCAATCTTTCTTTCGAGAACTAAATAATTTATAAAACTCAAGTTGTACTAAACTTATGATCCAATAATAGCAAAGTGATAGGAAATACTTGAGTTCGCAAGTAACCTAAGGTAATACTTGAGTTCGCAAGCAAACCTAGTCGAAATTAGCCCAAAACCAGTGAGAAAATTTCTGTCCCAGCAGGAAAACAGCGACCTTGCAGCAGGTATTGCACCTGAACAGTGGAAAACATGGAAAGAAAACAAACTTTTCACTAGAAGATGCAAGAAAACAAAGAAAGATACAATGATCTTCGATTCTCGAGGAAGAACAACTCTCCACAAGTCTCTAGCAAACCCTAGAGCCCAAGCACACGATGAGATCTCAAACTTTCCTTCAAATTCAAGATGAGATCCCAATTACCTCCTGCGCTCCTAATTAACAACAAAGGACAATTACAAACTTCCTAAAACAGCCCCCCACATTCAAATTTTCCCTCCTAAGTTGAATTAAACCAAGCATGGCCCACCCAGGGCTCCCCCCCCCCCCCCCCCCCCCCTCTTCTTTTTTTCCCCCCCCCCCGGGGCCCCCCCCCCCTCCTCCTCTATCTGTTATCTGCCGCCCCTGTGGGGCCCAGCCACACTTGGGCCGGCAGCACAGCAATACTCCCCTCCCAATGACTCGCCTTGTCCTCAAGGTGGAAGGAAGGAAATTGATCCATCATTCTGTCCATTGGTTTCCACGTAGCGTCAAAATTAGGGAGGCCTCTCCATTTAATCAGCACTTCTTTGTTGCCTTTTTGTCTGATTGGACTCCTGCTAGCTCTAGTGGTTCTAAAACCACCTCTAAGTCCTCCGTCATGGTATCTGGTAGTTCTTCACTTGTTGCATGTTCCCCTATGGCCTTTCTCAGCTGAGACACATGGAACACTGGATGTATAGTGGCTGATGGGGGTAACTTCAATCAGTACGCCACCGCTCCAATCCTGTTCAACACTTCATAGGGGCCAAAGTACCTGAGTGTCAGTTTCTGATTCCTTCTTCTAGCCACTGTCTTCTGCCTGTAGGGTCGTAGTTTCAGGATCACCTTCTCCCACACTTCAAACTACATGTCTCTCCTGTGTGAATCCGCCTGCTTCTTCATGATCTGTTGGGTCCTCATCAGATGTTTCTTCAATTCTTCCAGCACCTTGTCTCTTTCTTCCAGGTATTGCTTAACTGAAGACACTAGTGCACTACCTCTCCCAAAGTACACTAGGTGTAGAGGGTCCCTTCCATACATCACTTTGAATGGGGTCATCTGGGAGGCGGAATGGTACGAGGTATTATACCAATATTAAGCCCAAGTCATCCACTTTGCCCACATCCGCGGGTTTTCCGACACAACACCTCAAATAGGTCTCCAAACTTCGGTTCACCACCTCCGTCTGCCCGTCTGTCTATGGATGGTAGGTGGTGCTTCTCTTTAGAATGTGCCTTGCAATCGGAACAGCTCCCTCCAAAACTGACTAAGGAACATCTTGTATCGATCCATCACTATCGATTCAGGAATCCCATGCAGTCTAACAACCTCCTTGATAAACGCTGCTGCCACTGACACTGCGGTGTAGAGATGTCGCAAGAGGATGAAGTGTGCATACTTACTAAGTCTGTCCACCACCACCATGATGACAGTGCATCCTTCTGATCGTGATAATCCGTTGATGAAGTCCATTGCCACTTCCTCCCAAACTTTGTTTGGAAGTGTCAATGGTTGTAGTAATCCTCCTGGAGTCATGGCCATGTATTTGTTTCTCTGGCATACTTCACTTCACACCTTGACACTAGCTCCTCCACATCTTTATGCATCCCCTTCCAATAGAGCTTCGCTGCTAGCCTCCTGTATATCTTCTGAACTCCTAAATGGCCTCCAACTGCGCTGCCGTGGAACTCCTACAACAAGTGGGGAATATGTATGGAGGTTCGTGGCATCACAAACCTCCCTTAATACAATAGTCTCTCCCACTCAATGCAGTAACCAGGATGGCTACTCTTGTCTTTCCTCAAATCCTCCCTGATCTTTCCCAATTCTTCATCTAACATGATTTCTTCCTTGATGGCTCCCCAGTCAACCATCAAGTGTACAGACAGAGCTAACTCCTGAAGCTCCCCCACACATCTGGATAGAGCGTCAACTACTTTATTTTCCAATCCTGGCCTGCACTGGATCTCGAAATCGTAGCCCAAAAGTTTGGATAGCCACCGCTGATGCTCCTCAGTCACTATCCTTTACTCCAAGAGGTACGTTAAGCTCCTCTGATCAATTCGGACAATGAAGTGTCGACCCAAAAGATAGGGGCGCCACTTCTGAATGGACAAGACAATCGCCATCAGCTCCCTCTCGTACACTGACTTCAGTCTTGCCCTAATTGATAACACTTGACTGAAGTATGCCACAGGCCTGTGGTTCTGCATCAACACTGCTCCCAACCCATATCCTGATGCATCGGACTCTACAATAAAGGCCTGGCTGAAATCTGGAAGAGCTAGAACAGGAACAGTGGTCATGACTTTCTTCAACCTCTCGAAGGCCTGGGTCGCTGCATCTCCCCAAGAAAAGTTGTCTTTCTTTAGCTGCTCAGTCAAAGGCCATGTAATGATATCATACCCCTTCACGAACTTCCTGTAATAGCCAGTCAATCCTAGGAAAGCCCTCAACTCTCTTACGTTCCTAGGTAGTGGCCATTTCTGCATTGCCTCAATTTTGGTTTGGTCCACCGCCACTCCTTGGGATACCACATGTTCCAAATATTTCACACTGTACTGAGCAAAATTGCATTTCTTCAGGTTAGCTCTCAGTTGATGCTCCTGCAGTACTTCTAAGACCATCCTCAATTGTTCCAAGTGCTCTTCCCCAGTCTTGTTGTATACCAGAATGTCATCAAAGAAGACCAGGACAAACTTCATGAGATACTTCTTGAACACCCTGTTCATCAAGGACTGAAACGTAGCAGGAGCATTAGTCAAACCAAAGGGCATTACCAGAAATTCATAATGCCCTTCATATGTCCTGAAAGCTGTCTTTGGAACATCTGCCTCCCTCATTCTGATCTGGTGGTATCCGGATTTTAAGTCCATCTTGAAAAACATCACTGCCCCATGTAGCTCGTCCAACAGCTTATCAATCACCGGAATTGGGAACTTGTCTGGTATAGTGCCCCTATTCAGAGTCCTGTAATCTAAAAAGAATCTCCAACTCCCATCCTTCTTCTTGATCAGGAGAACTGGACTAGAAAAAGGGCTGACGCTGGGTCTGATGATCCCCGCCTCCAGCATTTCCCGGATCAACTTCTCAATCTCATCTTTCTGAATATGTAGATAATGGTAAGGGCGGACACTGATCGGTGTCTCCCTTCTTTCAAAGTAATGACATGCTCCAACTCCCTCTGAGGAGGTAAACCTTGGGGAGGTTGAAAGACCTCGCCGAACTGGTGTATGAGCGACTGCACTGTAGATGAAACATCGCCTTCTTCCTCTAGTCTGACCCCTTCCAGGCAGTGCAACTCCACTAAGTAGCCTCCTCCCTCCTCCTGAATGGTTATGATTAGAGATTTGAAAGAAACCCCTGCCTTGGTCAGCCCGACATCACCCGAAATCATCCTCTTTCTTCCCCCCACCACCAGCTCCATCCTTAGTGTTCCCCAATTGATCTGGGTCTCCCCCAATGTCTGCAACCACTTCAACCCCAGGATGACATCAATGCTCCCCAATTCTAAGGGAAGGAAGTCCTCCCTCACCTGAATCCCCTGAATCTTCAGCATCACCCCTCTACAAACTCCTGTATCCATTTCCAACTTTCCCGTGCCCATCATCACCCCATAGCCTCCTGTATCCACCAACTCCATCCCCAACAACTCAACTATCTGGTTGGAAATGAAATTATGTGTTGCCCCACTTTCAATCAACACCACCACCTCACGGTCAGCTATCTCTCCTTTCACTTTTATAGTGTGACTCGAAGTGAATCCTACTACAGAGTTCAGAGATACATCTGCCACATCCAGGTGTAGCTTCTCCTCCTCTTCAGAGCTGCTCCCACCTCCCTCCTTGTCTTCCTCGTCTTCACAGACAAGGAGAATCTGAAGAGCTCGATCCTTGCACCTATGCCCCGGCATATACTTCTCATCACATCTGAAGCATAACTCCTTTGCCCTCATATCCCGCATCTCCTTCTCTATTAACTTTTTGAATTGTCCCCCATCCCCCCTCCAGGTTTCTCCTTTGTTGCTTCCTTCAGACCCCCTAGCGTTGCCCTTTTGAAGGTAAGAATATGGTAGTCATCTTGTATGATACTCCTGAGTAGTTCCCTCGAGCTCCGCTTTCTGACTTCTTCTGATATTCCACCAACTGCGCTAGCTCCATAGCCTTCCTTAGGTTCCTCGACTCTAGCACCCAGACTGCTGTTCGTATCTCTGATTTTAGCCCCTTCATGAAGTTCCCTTCCAGAGCTGACTCTGAAATGTGATCCAATCTGCAAGCCAAGTACTCGAACTTGTCCCGGTAGTCTGCCACAGTCCCCTCCTAATTCAAAGCAAAGAATTGCTCATAAAAATCTCCTCCCTCATCGGCTCGGAAATGCTCCAATAAGCAATCTTTGAACTCTCTTTAGCTCCGTATAGGCTACCTCCTGCCATGCCACTGATACCAGGCCAAGGCTTTTCCTTCCAAACACAATTCCGCCGTCGTCAGCTTCTCCTCCTCTATCAACCCATTGACAGTGAAGTAACTCTCCACCTTGTAGATCCAGCCATGGCCGTCTTCACCCTCAAAGATGGGCATTTTCAGCTTCCTCACACATGGGTCTCCCTCGTGTCCCCTGAATCCTCCATAACCTCCCATTCCTCGAAGAGAGGGTGCTCCCCAACTGTCACGATCCTCCCTCCGGTGATTATACCTGAAACCATCATCATATTCTACTCTTCTCCCTTCAAAATCAGCACCCCGGTGATGAAATTCTTCCCTTCTCCCGACAAAATCAGCACCCCTCCGATCATTTCCCAAACTCATCTCCTCTCTAGAAAGTGGCTCAAGAGGTGGCATGTCGTCCTCCCCCTCAATGACCTCCACTTCCGGATTTCTCCTCCCCCTAAACGAATACGGATTTCCTCCTATGCTATAGCCTCCGGTGGTCTCTCTTGCTTCCGATGTCGTAGGATTTGTTTTCAACTCCAACAGTTTCTTTAATCACCGCAAATTT